ATGACCTCGTGTAACCAATCTACAGGTCCTAAATAAACAAAAAACTAGGAAGCTGACCCTTTGAGAGTATCAAAGAGCTCTGAACATGTCGAGTAATCCATAACTTTGAAATACGTCTCAACGGAAATGTCAAATTGAGCCCTTCCAAAAGTACATTACAATACTCTACCGAAGTCTTAACACACTCAACAAACTCCTCAAAATGTAGGGAGTAACATTGAGATAAAACAGACTTTTAAGCTCCAATAATTGTAGAATGAATCTCGTCAACTTCAAAATAATATGATATAAAACCACGCAATAGGTCAAATTATTAGATCTTCAAGTGAACTTCAAAGCCAAAATACACTGCTAATTATTTAATTGTCAAATTAAAATATCATAAATTATGGCTATGCACCACACTAACTCATACTTAACCCGACAAAAAGCAATTTTGCTTGTTCAGATCGCAATATTTTGATTGGAGTGGAAGGATCAAGTCTCAATCACGATTTATTTTATTTAGGAGTTCAAGAGCTTCATGTTTTTTGTGTGACTCTTCATTTTATCCAAGGTGTCACGTGTCATGTCAAGGGTGCTAAAAAAATACCTATAATTGGTATACTCGGATTTCTTGGGAAAAAAAAATATAGTAACATCCGAGGTCGTGTTACTGACTATGAACATCTCAGATGTGTAATATAGGGTTAATTTATCAAGAGAATTTTCATTGGAATGCTTAATAAATAAATTTTGACAAAAGTCCAGATTAAATATTTATGTTGATGTAAAAACATTTTGGCTCAAGAGACTTTCAAGTTTCAAGTTTCTTAAATTAAAATGTGATTCATTATTAGTGTGCATCTAGATGGGTGATGATAATTGACGATGAAGCATCATTCTTTCTTGAATGTCAAAAAGTTTCCCCTAAACCTAATAAGGGCCAAGTAACTTGTCTTTCCTAAAAAGTATATTTTGTTAATTATTGTTGAAAAAACTTGAAGATAGTCTTGGAATAATGAAGAAACAAATCACCAACTGGATATAAACTCTACTGCATTTAAAAAAATGGAGACAATCATTGAATAACGTTCAAAATTGGAAAATGAATTTATACATTCGGGGTTAGGGTTCCATTTTAAGAAGTTAACCTTATAAAGGGAAATATGATAAGTCCTTATATATTGATTATTTATTTTATGTTTATTCAATGGGTAACATGACATGATAAAATGGTGGCCTATTTAAAAAGATCAATCTTGTATTTTGTGCACTTATTTGAGTCTTAATCTAAGTAAATTGTTTGTTATTGCTTAATTGTTAAGATGAATAGCTCAAAATCTTATATTTTAATTATTTATTTTATAGGATGACTCTCAACACTTTCTTTGCAGAACATATTTTGAAGGTCAAACTTGAAGAAATTCAACAAGGTTCGTGCCCGGCCCGCTGATTTAGCCGAAAGTTATGCTAATCTTAGAGCATATTCTATATATTAGGGAATAATATCTGAAGCAGAAGATTGAATTGCCATTTCAAATATACATGAAGTCAATGGTCAGCAAAATAAAATGTGTTCCAATTTTCAAAATAAAAAATCAGGACAAGGCTCTCAGGAAATGAACAAGAGAGATTACATCTTATGTGGATTCAAATATAGATTGTAATGATATGAATAATATTACAGAATTTTTGGTGATTCACCATGCAGATTTTGCTCATATGTTGCTTGGTTCATACTTCGAAGAATTTCTTTAATCCATTTTCGTCGGCTTTCCTCAACCTTTCATGTTAGTTTTACGTAAATTAGTTGCTAACTCCAAAGTTTTGTAAAATTGTTATATTTCCATGAATAACTTTCGGAAGCTATGTGTTCAAAAATTTAAAATGAGCTGTGTAACACTTTGACGCATGTGTTAGAAAGTATTTATAAATTATTTAAATTATAAATAAATAGAAGTGAATAGTGAATTAATAAATAAATAGTACATACGAGTCCATCGATATGTATGGATATAAATGTCTTATTATGAATTATCAAATTAAAAAGTAATCGTTTGAATTTATTGGTCTCTTTTCTCCAAATCCATTATTCCTTCTCACACAAGTTTTCATTCTCTGGCCTAATCTAGTCTCCAATTCATTTGACCCATTTTACTTTCCATTTTCAGCCCCTTTAGCCTTCTTTCTCAATAATACACTAACTATACGCATTACTACATGCATTGTACAAACAAATGCTTAGAATCCAATTTTCCCTTTCTATGGACTCAACTCATTAGGTTATAATTGTTGACACATAAAAATTCAGCCCAAATCGAACGGTCCAAGGAGTGAATCCCAATTGGAGAATCCCCAAATCAGATAGCCCAAAGAATGAAGCCCAATCAAACAAATCAAGATGAAGGCCCAAATAGGGAGGCCCGAGAACGCGGTAACGCCATCGCCCAAGTTTGCAAGTCGCCCAGAATCTAAGCAAATGGAGTGTCATACAGTCGCCCAGAGCTATTACTTTATTCTCGCCCAAACCTTCAAATCGTCCAAATGTCTTAACAAACATAAAGCGTTGTGGTTATCAAGAAGTGCAGTTATCAACGCAGTTATGGACGATCAAGCAGTTTTTAGACGGTTGATCACAAAGAGATCGTCCATGAAGTATAAAAGGGAGAAAAGACATAGAGCAAAGGACCGAATCAAAAACTCTCGAACAGAGAACATGTAATTTTAATTTCCTTAACTTAGACTTAAACACTTTTTTCAGTAACTTGTGTGCTTGCGCCCCTTGGAGGCACTTTGTTTTTAATTTCCAATTGTAAAGTCATCGCCAATAAAAGAACACCCCTTTTTGGGACTTTGTCTCAAGAGGTTTGTCTCTTACACAATCGTCTGATCCCTTTTAATTGTTAGCGACTAACCCGCGCGAAACAATAATAAACATTTTATCAAGGATTAAATTCAAAAACATTCTATTCAACTCATTTTTTATTTTTCTCATTTGCAATAACCTCAAATACTTGAAATTAAGAAAAGAATATAACCTAAACATACCTATACTCACAGCATGACAGTGAAAATCTAAAACACGAGCTAATAGATGTTAAACCCTAGCCAAATGCTTGCAAGAAATATCAAGAATCTAACCAATAAGTCCACAATAGCTTAATAATAATCCACAGAGCTCGACAGTTCCTCGTTTTTCTTTTCTTTTTTTCCCCTTTTCTTTTGGCTCAATTTCTACCTCCCTCCAACCCTCTCAGACCCAATTCCCATTTTGAGAATGATTTACTGTCCTTGTTTAACTCCATTCTAAAACTCATTTTTCTCCCAACTTAATAAAGGAAGATTCACAAGGAAGATAACCGCATCCCAAATGTCTGATCCAAGTGTATATAAGCTAATGATCGCATCCGGATTTACCTGGATGGCAAACTAGGGGAGAAGACTGTCACTTCTCAAGATTAATCAGGTGAAGCTCGGACACCTGAGTCATCAAAAAATAAAACAAAATAAAATAATTTTACACATAGAACAATAACTTTTCCCTATTTTTTAAACATACATTCTCAAAAAACTTAGGGGGTGTTCTCTTTGTGTTTCAGTTTTGTGTTTTGAGTTTTGAATTCATTTTGAGTTTTGTATTTTGAGTTTTTGTTTTGAAATTGTTGAAAATGCGTTCTTTTTGTTAGTTTCTCAAAACAAAAAAAAATAAATTTTTTTTTTAAATTTTGAGAATCACCACAACACCACCTCAAAACACCAAAAGGAGGCTCACAGGGAGGAGAATCGTATCTTGAATATTCGGCCTAAGTGTGTATAAGCTGTGATTGCATCTAGATTTACCCAGGTGGTGAACCAAGAGGGAAAACTACTACTCTTCAGGATTAGTCGGGCGAAATTCGGACACCCGAGTCATTATAGAATAAGAAATATATAAAATAATTTTAAACGTGGACTAATAACTTTTTCCTACTTCTTAACCATACATTCTACAAAAGAATTAATTGTACAAAATTTATTCTCAAAAAATCTCTATCAAACAAGTGCATAATATACATTAAAACTCCTGCTTGGGCCCTCCACTTTGCCGAAATTTCAATTTAAATCCTTAAATTTTTTTTTACATACATCTTAGCCTCTTTGTTTTATATAAATTGGCCCTTAACAAATTCTACTGGCTTAGAATAGTCCCTGTGAAACCACTTGAACCAAAATTTTCTTGACTTGACTGGATAATTTTGACTTTAATAACTATAAAGTAGGTTATAATAGAAAGAGTCAAAAGATTATTACACAACGCATCTCTCCTTGAGGACTAGCTAGAACAGAAAATTCTAAACCAATTAAAAAAGATAAGGAATAAGAAGGATCTACAAAAACCAACGTAAATTTCATCTCGATTGTCAAAATTTCGAGAGCAGGTACAATCCAAAAGCATTTTTTGGTTCTACAAGCCAACAGTGTCAATACTTTTTTGTACAAATTTTGTCATTTAGGGTTTTGTTTTAGCTTTTTTTCTATTTTTAGCTAGTTTAAAGTATTTTCATCATTTAAGTAGTTTGTAAATTGCACATTCGTTTTAGTGGACTCTAATAATTCTCATGTACATTCAAGCAAACACCCATTTGTATATTATGAAGTGCTGGTGTTGGGGGAGGTGAAGATGGAAAATGATAGGCTGATGAGATTTATAATTGGCAGTGATTCAGAGGTTACAAAATGGATTTTTTCTTGCCTGATTTGGTTTCTTGATGTTGCGTCACCTGATAAGGTGTTGAGTGAAAAACCTAGGCATTTGGTGGACATGAATGTGAAGTTGAGCAATAGGGTTCCTTCTCGGGTGAACATTTGGCATAAAGTGTGAATTAGTATACACAAGAAGACTAAATGTTTATGGAGTTTCTGATCTCGAAGTTTCATTTTAAAAAGTCAATAGTGTTAAAGAAGAGTAGCCTTTCGATTTTAAGGTTAAGAGGTCTCTAACAAGAAGAGATACATAAATATTGTAATTTGACAGCTTATTTAGATAGATAAAGAAAACAAATTCATTTTATTGTGAAGCAATACAAGAGTTGAAGCAATAACAAACACAAACAACATTGGTACAAGTTATTCCAATACATATATGGTTGCAAACCTAATAGCAACCTTTTATTTATGATATTATCAAGCAAGCAAGTTGAGATTATTTAACTATAATCTCAGCATTGACGGTAGCAAAAGCAGGCGAATCCCCAGCCCCTCCTATGGCAAGCTCCATGTTGAGCCTTCTCCCAATTCCTGCACTGCCGATCACAATTGCCGGTATTCAGACATATCCCCGACCACGTCCTGCTCAACCTCGAACAGACTTTAGCTTCCACAATCTGCACCTCTGCATATACATATATGTATATATACAGAGAGAGAGAGAGAGAGAGAAGCTGCATTAGCCAAGTTTACCAACATTTGCATGCGTGCTTAATTTATGTCATCAACTTTTACTGAATAAGATTGCACAGTATGATAAATAAATTTTGATGTATTTTCTTAGTTGAACTGCTATCAAATCCTTAACACCAATTAGAATCGATTAGAAATTAGTTTCAAACAATAATTAAGGAAGCTTCATCGTGAAATTTTTCTACAAGAAGCAGTCTCGACCGAAAGTTGGAAAAGACATTTATTTTGAAAAAAAAAAATGAAAAAAAAAAAAGAACTAAGGACTTCTTACCGTTGGATGCTATAAGAAGGAAGCAGATGAGAAGGGCAGAGAAAATGACTTGGGAAAGTTGGGATTTTGCCATTTGCTACTATATATGTGTATGTTGTGAGATTTAACGTGCTTGTGAGGAATAGAGAGTGACAACGGAGATATATATAGTAGTCTTGGGTCTTATTTGTTTATTTGAGTAATTGTTGAAGTCTCATTAAAGAATTATAAATTTACATAACTAATTATACTAGGTAACATGACGAGGATTTGATAGTGGAACTTCCAACTCCAAAGATAATGTAAAAAAATATAATTTATGTAATTGAATAGAGTGTTTGACTTAATGAAACCATACTTGCTCACACGACCGCATGAAACCATAACTTGCACAAAACTGAGCGCTACATCGAACTTTTAACTTATTTTTATAACTTAAAATTGTCCAGAATCTCAGAGTCTACCTTAACCAAACAAGTTATTAATAATTTTGATAAGAGATCATTGTTTGCTAATTTACTCAAATCAAGGGTTTAACTTAAAGGTAAATTGTGTTTTTGAAGAAAAAAACGGTTGACTTAATCAAATCATGCTTGTTAGCAAGACTGGAAGAAACCATGACTTGCACATATAAGAACATCATTTTTATGATACGTTTGGTACATTGTATTACATAAGATTAAATAATAATTTATCTTTTCATCATCTTAAAATTATCCGGTGTTGTATATTTTATCTTAGTTGTGAGGCAATTCATTAGTAGTTTCAATGATAGGCGATTAATTGCTAAACTCGTGGGTTATAGATACGAATTCTTTCATGACGTGTATAGTATTCTCAAGTTTAAGTAATTGAGTTAGTCATTATCCGGCTGCAATTGTCTGATTTAATTGGCATGATGTTTTACTAATAATGAATATATATATATATATACACACACACACACCTAAATGTGTAATAATGGTAAACTTACTCCATCTCAAAACATGAAGTACAATGTTAAAGCTTGGGACTATAATTCAAAACCAGTCATATCCCATCATGTTACGTAGTATAACATTTCTCAACTCATTCTCGCTAACATAGTTGATATTTAAATAAGATTGTGTAAATTTATCATTTGGAGAGTTCATATCTTCTTTATAGTGTCCATGAAAGTATTCAAAAGCTTCCTTGACATATTCCCTACAATATTAGATGAATAGGTGTGGTATCTCCGGTCTAAGATCACATATTTCCCCATCCAACTTCATATGCCTATTCAATTATATTAAGATGGTTCATTAAATTACTGAGACAGAATGGGAAAAAAAGAAAGCAACTCAAAAGGAAGAGATGATAAAACTTGTGGCTCCATCGAACGCCATTAAATGTAGTAATAAGAGAGTTTGCATCAATATTTTCGATTGAGCCCCTTAGTTTAAGGGATGCCAGCTGGTTAAGCCGAAAGTTTTGCTCAACATTGACCATATACCATAGCAGAAACAGCATGTATATTATTGCTAAAATATGTCACAAAATAAAAAAATTGGCATATTTTAATTATACGCAGCATAACAGATTAATAAATGGTTAAGTCTATGATCAGACCATTGAAATATATTCCAAATTTGAAAACAAAGAGACCAGACATCATTTTATGGAGATTCCAAAGCCTTTTAAAATTAAATAGAAATTAAACAAGAATTGGTGTCCCACCCCGTTATTTTAGGGTTAGAAGAAAAAAGTAAACGGGACAGGTAACAGATTGGATAATATTATGAATATATTGTTTATTTCGAAATGATTAGGTTCATCCTCCTCAAAGGTAATATTAATAACATAATGTATTTGCTGGAAGTAAATTATTAAAGATTTATCCACAAGAAAATAATAATAACAATAATAATAATAATAATAATAATAATAATAATAATAATAATAATAATAATAATAATTAAAGCAGTTGAAAAACACCAACATCGCAACATGTTATTAAAATTAGTAAAGACGAATTCTTGGGTTTGCTTACACTTATTCAGAGAAAATTGGAGAGAAAGTTGGGATTTCTGTAGGTGTTGATAATATTTACTCCACTCCATTTCATTCTTGCTGTTGGGAATCTACTTAACACGCACAGCGAAAAATTAAAACAGATTTCGATTCTCACCAGAAATCTCTTTATGTTTAGAAAGAAATAGTGAAAAATTTGTACCTTTTCTAGGTCTGCAAACTTCTTTGTTATTCTTTTCGTTCCAGCAATCTTGATTCGCCATCCATAGCTGTCCAATTGTCCAGCCTCAAATGGTGATCCACACAGAGAACAGATTGTAGTTATCAGGATTTTCTCCTCTTGTGCTAGCAATAAATTATAAGAAAACTATATGGATTGAAAACTCTGGCCATGTATTTGTATAAGCCCAAACGGGCTTGACTCGGTTCGATCTAATATTTAATTAATACATTTAATTAAATTCGGTCTGTGAATTAATTAATCAAATTAATTAATTCGAGACTATAAATAACCAACCCAATTAATTAATTTCTCCAACCATTGTTAAATTAATTAATTGACAAATTGCAATCTTCTAATTTTCTTTTGTGTGCGACCCATCAGGTTTTCGATCACGATGCCTAACGACGTAAAATATTATTTTGATCTAATCAAAATTGATAAATTAAAACACCATTTTAATTTATCACCAATTCACACTCGTCGTCCTAGATTGACATCTAGCAATGTGTCAAGGCAATACATGTGACGGGGAATGTCATGTGGTATGACAAAATCAAACTCGTTTGTTTACCGTGAAATTATAACCCCTTCGTCAATATGATCCGATCAATTACAAGATGTGAAAGTGTGTCAATCTCGAATATCGATCATATCTTTCATTCCACAATTAAGTCAATATAAGTCGAAAAATCATTTTTTGACTTATGAGTACACCTTGGCCAAGGACTTCGTTATCGACTTAATTGAATAAAATGCAGATCATAATCTCCTACTATTTAAGAGTGACGAATCATCTATTCATCATTCACAACCTTCATATGATTCTTGACATATCCAAATAATGCCGTATTAGCGGCCCTTGGCAGAGCAACATCCAACACCGTTAAAGCATGACTGTCCTCATATAAGATACTATGACGACCTCAAGTCAAAGGACCAATCACACTACCAAACATTAGAGATTAATCACTGACACTCAGATAATTATCCATGTGAAATCTCTCGTTGGGTCTCCAATGTTTTGTTTTATAACAAAACATTCACTTGTTCATTTAAATGTCACCACACTTTAGCTTGTGAGATCAGCTCCTTACTTCACAAGTAAGAAATGCCACACGTGATGGTCTATCCATAATAACGATATCCGCATCTTGTTATTACTTACGACCACAGATGATTTAAGATTCAATCATATGTAATTTGTATCTCATAATCACAACTCCTTGTGATTAACAAATTACGAAGATTTGAATCTACAGACTCTATTATTTATTTAATTGTCTATTAATTAAATAATAGATATGTCATTAAATTACATTAATTATATATCAAAAGTATTTATGTCCAAGGTTGATTGGACCTAGAGTATAATACTTACAAACTCCCACTTGCACTAGATCCAATCACTTATATATCTAATAACATAAGAGTCTACATGACGATCATGTTTATATTACGACAACTCTTTGTCAGTGGATCTACAAAATTGTTAAATGTGGGAATTTGTTCCTCTCTTTACGTTATTTCTATGTATTATCTCTCTGATGAGATTATACCGCCTTAATACATGTTTGGATCATTGATGAGAACTTAGCTCCTATGCTTTCGCGATGGGTCTATTGTTATCACAATACAATTGCATGTGATCAACAATATCAGAAACTACTCCAAGTTATTTATGAACATCACGATCTACATTGCAACTCTTTGATACTTTTGAAGTAATCATATATTAGTTTTCTACTATTGAATCAACGGTTGTTTTACGCTTGGAACCTTTCCAACATTCCGCTTAAGAGTAAATTAGTTTCTCCATATGAAATCTTCTCAAGATATCATCTATGTAAATTAGGATAAGTTAGGCAATTTTTTAAATCTATCTCTATAGATCAAGTTGTTTCTCCCATATCGTTCATGAATAAATCCTTTAACAACCATTATTTCAACAATTAAAAATAGGGATGTCATTTTCTATAATATTAGGAATACGACAATGGTCCCACTATCTTCTTATAAACACACAATTCGTCTTCAAATTTGATAAAATCAAATACTTTGACTTTTTCATCAAATCGAAGATTTCAGCTCCAAGAGACTTCTCTTAACCTATAGTCACGGTATGCAACTGTTGCAAGCAAAACCTGAATGGACTTCAGTAGGGCTACAGGAGAAAGGTTTCACCAAGATTAACACTTAACATTTGCTTCTAGCCTTACTTTGTATATATGGATATTCTCATCCATATCGACCTTTTCCTTATAAACTATTTACAAAAACTTATGGGTTTTATTCCATCAAGAGGCTTGACCAAGGTCCAAACCTTGTTTACATACGTCGAGTTCATCTCAAGTTTCATGGCCTCTTGCTGTCTCTTTTAAGTCAATACTAGACTTTATTTTGGTGCAACTAGCAGGTTCGTTATCCTGGATCAGTAATACCTGATTAGTAATCATGGATTCTCACCTTCTTGAAGGTCGAATGATCCTACTAGATTCACATAGAGTTGACATGTCCTCATGAGTCTTTACTTCCTAATCCAGAGTATGCCCCATATCAGATGTGGGATCAAACTGGGATTTATCTACTTGGTTAACTATGTCTGTGGACTCTTGAACTCTTTCAAATTCTATTTTGCTCTCACTGTCCTCTCCTATAGTAAACTTTTTCTCTAAGAAAACGATATGTCGTGAGACGAAGACTTTCTTCATGATAATAGAATTTATATTCAAATGTCTGCTTTAAATATCCCCACAAATACGTATTTATCAGATTTAGTGTCAAACTTATCCGATTCAAGGCGCTTCAAATAAACGTCTTGGCCTCAAACTTTCATATAAGATAAATTGGGACTATTGCATTTCCATAACTTGTATGGAGTTCTGTTAACCAATTTCGATGGGACATGATT